CTAAAACTTTTACAATCGGATTTCATTTTGCCAAAAAAAATTTAAAGGTTTTTCCAAAAAAAAAAAAATTTTAAATGGTTTTTCCTAACAAATTATCCTTTGATTTAGAATAATTTTAGGTACCAACAGAATCTAATCTTTTATTGCAGATTGGGCCTATTGTTCTCTGGTGAGTTGGAGTTCAAAGTCACGGACCTTCAACAATAATAAACCTGGGCTTTAAGTCTTTAACAATTACTACTACTTGTGTACTTGTATTGGATTGCAACAATAAATAATGAATTACTGTAATATGTTATCAAATTAAATTAGTATGTCTAGATAATTGAGTAATTGGATATCAATTTTTTTGTTAGTTAAAGTTTCGAGGGAGGTACTCAACCCCTTGGAACAAATTCTATTTACATCACTATCTTGTAGATCTATTTCTACACCTAAAAAAAATTACTCCCTCTACTTTATAATGTTAGTCTAATATACTCTGTACTATTTTAGGTGTTTTAAAAAGATCTGTCCATATCAAATGTATTCCATTTTTAATTTAGTTTTTATTTCATATTTTATACATGTTAAATTCTGATTGTTAAATTAATTAATTGTTCATTGATGACATAACTCCAATTGAGGAAATCCCTCCCTTAATTATAGCTGATGCTTTCCAAACACATATCAAAAAATTAAAATAAGGCAAAACTAATTATGATTTGTTTATGTACTTTAATGATATATTCAAAATATTCTTCTTTTCTTATTTTATGTGATTGATTCCATGTTATCATATGAAAATGGAGGGAGTATAAAGTATTTTAGCTTGTGTTATTTTTAGATGTGATTTCCGAAAATAACTTTTAATTAAATCTAACTAGATGAAGCCCGTGCGATGCACGGTTTGTTTGAATTTTTTAAAATAATATTTTTACATAGATATTTATGTGCTAAAAATTGTTAAATGTTTAGATAAAATTTTCGATATTAAAAGATAATATTTTGTATTTAATTAATTTAAACTGGATAATCTCATTCACCAATTTTGCTTACGTCTCAGTTAAATTATTTAATTTTAAAAGAAATTAATAATCTCATATTTAATTGGCTACCACTAAAATTTATTATCCTACGTGGCGCGCTGAAAAAATTAAATCCTACGTGGCTCTCTAAAAACTCGGGAAAAAACTCCCCTATATATATATATACTAGTTTTGTACCCGTGCGATGCCCGGGTTGTTTATTGAATTTTAAGATAAATTTTTAATCTATATGTCAAATTTTAAAACATATCATTGATATAAAATTAGTTAGGAATTGATGTGTTTTTGTGATGATTTAAACTATATAATAGGCATGCAATATATCATAAATAATGGATGTGGTGCATTATGAGCTAATTCTTTCGCTGTAAAAAAATACTATGATACAAAAAAATAAATTTATATGATAATTTATGAGTGTAATAATTTTTTTTTTATAAAATTATAATTTAATTTGTACATATGAAATATTGGTACTTTATCGAAAATAAAACTCTAAATTAACAATTTTATCCTAAAATTATATCCAAATTTAATTGAAAATAGAATTCTAAATTATTTTTTTTATCATACAAATTGAATTCGATATAAGTTGGCGCAACACTTGGCGAAAAGTTGGAACGCCAAGTGTCGTTATCTCGTCGTCTGGCTAAAAGTTTAGCTCCGTATTACAAAGTACTTCTTCCTTTTTTTTTTTTTTTTTTATGTAACACTTTGAGTTTCACATTATTTATACATTTTGCATTGGCTAACTTTGTAGTCCAATTAAAATATAGCATATACAATGAATTAGAAAGTGTTTCTTCAAAAAAAAAAATGAATTAGAAAGTGTAGAGAGTCTCCTCTCTCCAATTGTATGATCATTTAAAATAAAGATAGTTGCATTAGAGTTAGTAAGATGTTAAAAAAAAAAAAAAAAAAAAGGTGTTCTTTTATTGCATGTAAAGGACTGAATACTCATGTGAATTTAGAAATTAAGGGCTTTTTCGTAGAACATAAAAGTGAGAATGTACAAAGTGTCAAAGTGCAAATTCAATATCCTATTCACATGCCCTTATGGTAACTCTCAATGTCCATGATTTATAAATATCTATGTAACAATTAAGCAAGTTAATTATTCTTAGGAAGTTTGATGTGGCCTGGGATTTTTAATTCCTATGTTAAAGCAAACAATCCTTAAAAGTCACTTTAATAAAGAGTTTCCAATTCAATATCCTCTTGTTAGATTGATCAATTAAAAGAGGGAAAATAATAAAAATCTTATTCTCTACATCCTAAATTAAAGGTAACTAAGGGCCTATTCTCATTGACTGAACTCAACTGAACTGAACTGAGCTGAACTGAGCTGAACTGAATATTTTATAAGAGAAGGAAATTAGGAGCTAAACTGAACTGAACTGAATTTCAACGTAAGAGAACATGCCCTAATTCAAAATGCCTTCAACCTTTCTTCCGATAAACTTTTGCTCAAATAATCAAATTTGGCCCACTTTTGATTAGTACGTAGTGTATTTGCACTTACGGACTTAAATCATTACCTTTCTCTTAAAATCGTGTAAAATCAAAACGCAACAGTCACTTTAGGCATAAGATCATATACGACTCATGTGAGAAAAATAAACAAGCAGATCGGGTGGGTTAACATACTCGATCAACACACTACACTTCAATGATTGATTACTCTAGTGAGAAGTAAAAATTATGTCACAACAACTTCATCAACTAGTAGCGTTACCCAAATAGTAGAAGAAAAAAAACTTAAACTTTACCCCTTCACTCTAACCATGAATGGATGTATCAATCAACATATCTATATCTACTACTACTACGTGCAATTTTTAGCAATTTGGCATTTAGTCCAAATTAATATACAATTATATAAATTCATATAATAAAATTATAATTTCTTCTTTTTGCAACGCATTGAGCTGGTAATAAAACGATAGGCACCTGCGTTTTCCTTGTTGTCTTGGACATATTTGTCCTATAGTTTTGAGCTAAATCTGCACGTTGTCTAGGCCTTCAGCTAGATTCTCTCACCTCTTCTTGTTTTCACTCTTTTTCTCTCTTTATTGTTGACTACATTCTCCTTAACTATTTTCACATCTTTTATACTATAAATCTTACTATTAATAAAAATATACAAGTATATATTATTATTAGTCTTACTTACCACATTGAATTAATTAATTAATTCGGATTGGGGTTAACCTAATTATATAAATGAATTGAACGATCCTTTTGTAAGAAGACACGAAGCATATGTGTTGTATATATTTAGTACTTGCAGTGTAATTGGGTTTCAGAAGTTTGATCACTATATTAGTGAAGTAGTGAACCAACCAACTATACATTTTTAATGAAAATCTTAAGCCAACTCTTACTTATATTATAATTATTTAGAGTCATGCAAATGAGTTGATTTACTAATTATTAAGTATTGGAGGTTGTTTGTCCAAATGACTACGGTTTCCTTCTTTTTAGACTAGTTTGATTGACGTATGTCGCACACAATTAAGAACTTTGATTTTCACTAAAAAGAAGAGAGAACTTTGATAAATTGGATTAGGTTCAAGATATGGAAATTCCAATGTCGAACGTAAACAAAGCTCAGGTTATCTGTAAAGTTGATAGAGTGAGGGATAACTTAAATGGTTAGAAACTTAGAATTCCTCTCATTTTGGGATCGACTCGACCTTGTAATTCTCTAAACACCAAGAATCTACAAAGGTTTTTTTTTTTTTTTTTTTGTTGTTGATAAATGCTTAATTAGTTGGGTACTCATCATTAGGGAGTAGTCTACAACAAAAAACGCGGTGTTTGGAGCCAATGCCAGTGGCGATTCCAGTATGGGTTCAGTGGGTTCAGCTGAACCCATACTGGATTCGGAAATTTCTGATTAGTTTCTTTGATTTAAAGTTTAGATAAATAAAATATAATGTAATAAAATATGTAGAACTTTCAACATGGTCCAGCGGTAATACTCCAATAGCCTTATAGGAAGTTCGCGGGTTCGACTCCGCATGACATGTTTTTTTCTTTTTTTTTTTCTTGTTTGTTTTGGGCTTTTACTTTGTTTCTTTGGCCTTTTCTAACTTAATAGTTAATAGCCCAATTACCCATTATCCAAAATACCTTAATCTTGATATATGTTTACATTGAATATTTAATTTTTTTTTCTAGTTATGATTTATAGGGATTATAGATATAATCATTTTTTTCTTTCAAAAAAAAAAATATAATCATTTCAAAATTTGGAGACTTGTCAAATCAATTGTAATATTTTTTAATTTTGCACTTGTATTACAATTGTGCACACCCAAATTATCAATCGTATTGTATTTTGAGTTATGTTATTTGATTTCATTCATAAACGAAATATGTGTTTAGCAACTCCGAACCCATAACAAAAAGTTTCTGGAATCGCCACTGGCTAATGCCATCAAAATTAGAATTCAAACCTCATCAAGTGTAACACGTATGGCAATTGCCACGATGCCATAAGCTAATTGTTCACTTATTGTAGGTAAGAAACTCAAACCAAATGAATGTATCTATTCAACATTTAGCCATGTAAATTACACTCACTCATATTATTCACCACTAAACGAAACAACATACGTAGTTTGGTAATTGCACATGCTACAAAAGAAAACACAAAAGTATCAAAATTCACAAATAAAATTTCACTTCTTTGATTAATTTATATCAGTAACACTACCAATAGAAAAGAATTTTTTTTATTAATCCATAATACATCATACAAAGGTTAAATGGAAAACGAAAATAAAGGAACAGTACAAAATGTGGATATTTGTCACTTTTTTTTTTATTGAGGGGCAAAATATTAAAAAAAATTAAATAAAATAAACTCAATGAATTAGAACCGTTGGATGAACTACTTATTTATCTTCCCTCCAATTTAATCAAATCATAAAATCAAATATTTTTCTTTTTTTTTTTTCAAAAAAATTAAACATTAACTGGCTTACACAAGAACATTAGAGACGACGGAACCGCATCACTCCCAATCCTCCCACCACCACCGCCACCGCCACCGCTGCCCAACTTCTCATAATAATCGACGCAAAACAACGACAGCAAAAGCTGAGCGCCTTGCCTCGACCAAACTCGGCGAGTCAATTCAGCACCACAACGACTACGACCACTACCGTTCCAGCGACCAAGTACGGGTCGAACACAAACCATGTAAAGACGTTTATACCCTCCAAGAGCCAACACTAGGGTCCGAACACGTGGAGGAGGCGACACGCGTCGAAAGCAGACGTACTCCCAAACTGAATCATCTGACTTGGAAATTGACCACCATAGTCTACATACACAAGAAGCCACCCCTAAGGATCTCCCGTCGAGGCGCTTCAACACCTCGACGAGTATGTCCGGGTAATCGTTGATTGAATACTCGATTGTCGCCTCTCGTTTCAACATTTTCATTTTTTTTGTTTCTGTATAATTGTAATGTAACAAGCTTTTACAAGAGTTATATATATAATGAAAGGGGATTTGACTTAATTGTGAGAAATGGAATTAGAGAGAGAAATCGAGGAGAGAGAGAGAGAATCGAGGAGAGAGAAGAAGGGGACAAAGGGATAAAGTTAATGAAGAGGAGTGAAGTGAAGAAGTCTAGGAATGAAATTGTAAGCTAAGCTAAAAAAAAAGGACCAATATTGTTTTGTGTGTGTCTTTATTTCTTTCTATCAAAATTTTTAAGAGAAAGAGAGCTGTTTGTTTGTTGCTTTTGTTGTTTGCTTTCGAGGAGATTGAGCTTGTTTCTTTCTCCTATTCATTTACTTAATTTCCATTCATATCATTTTTATTTTTTTTTTAATTATTATGGGCTTTACTATTTACTATTTACTATTTATATTTATTTAGTTTATTTTGTGTTTTAGTGAGTGCTACTCGTGCTAATTAAAGTGTTTGCTTCTCTTATTTTCATGATTATATTGCTGTTAGCCGAAAGATGTGTCTTTTCAGGCTACACTTTTTCATATTAACGTAACTTATTCTAGGATTATCAACTACTTTTCTAAAATGACTTTAGATATGTTAAGGTTAAGGATGTCCATTAATAATTTGATACAACTAGCTAAATATAAATCTTATAATGCCACTCCTGTTTTGGTTTTATCAAACAAGAAGTATATTTGTTTGGGAGTTGGAGATTTTCTTACCTTTCCCTTCTACTCTAATGCAATTTTGCGGAGTTGTGTTGACTTACCTGGTGAGAAATGTTGGTTCAATAGAGTCTTTCATCTTACCTTACTAAAAAAAAAAAACCAGAGTAATATCTCACCAAAAAAAATACTTCATAATGAGTAATACTTCTTTTGATCCAACTTACATTATCCCATATGATCACTTTTTACGAGAGTTTTATCGAAACAAATGAGACAATATTTGAGACGGGGGTACGTAATAGAAAGTTCCTCAGTAAAAAATGTATACGTATTTATTAGAGAATTCAGTGCATGTAATTTACTTGTGTTAAATTCTAATGATTAGATTACACTTGGTAACTTATTGACATTGAGCTTCTTATATTTTGTATTAAAGATTAAGTACTATTTTATTATGATGATCATTTGAGTAAACAAAAGAATAAAGCGAGCCAAAATAAATCAATTAAAACATAAACAAAGAGTATGTAAGTAGCTTATTTTATCCAAAAAGAAAAAACAAAGAAGATAAAATAAAATAGGTATAGTATAGTTTGTTTCGTAGAAATGGACAGAAAACTAAAAGCTTAGAGTAGGTTGGACCACAGTGGAGTTGTAAAAGCCTACGAGCATTCATCAAGGAGATGGAGGAGACGTTGCCTTTGCTAACTTTGAGGCTTTCTCTCTAATAAGAGTTGCCCTATTTCCAAATCCAACGGTAAATTTTGACTTTTACAATTTTAGATATTTTTTTTTTTTTTTTTTGATGAATAATAGATCCGTAATACCATAAAATCAATATTTGATTTTGTATTATACTATTGTTAGTAAAACTCAATACTAATGAATTGTCACAATTTTCTTATTAATTAGTAAAAATTATAATAATTAAATATTAATAAATCACAACTTCTTATATATGGTTACCCACACATCACACGGGTTACTTGGTAGAATTATAGAAGTTAGACCTCGTTTACTTCATCTTATTTTTATTGAACTTAAATTATTTGTACTGAACTGAAGTTAATTTTGTTGAATTTAAATTATTTTTACTGAATTGATTATTTTTACTGATTTTCTATTATATTTGTTATTTATAGTTACTAAAATTCATTGATCTGAACTAAATTTTACTAAACTGAAATTATTTTTTACAGAACTGAACTTATTTTTACTGAAATTGTTTTTACTGAATTGAAATTCTTTTTACTTAATATTTTTTTTAAGGTGAAGTGGACATGGCCTTACTAGGTCAATATTAGAGGGCTTACTTCGTCAATGTTGTAAGAGTTACTCGATTGATGTTATAGAAGTTACTTTGTTCTTTTATAATTGGTCACATGATATGTCAGCCGCATACAAGACGTGCTGATAATAAATTACGCATTGAGATGATTCATAAGACTCGACATGATTATGTTCTGTTGTATATATTAGAAAATTCTCTTGACTTGTGAATAGTGTTAAGATTTCAAATGAAAAGAACAAAAGGGAACAAATGAAGTAATTATTAGGAAAATTTGTAAATTACCACCCACAAAGAGGTCATGTTTTGATATTACCACCCATTAAAAAATTTATTTTAAATTACCACCCATTAAATTTGAACAATTTTCATATTACCACCTTTTTTGGATTTCCTGTGGAAATTTCGTTTGAGGGCCCCACATAACGGCTATAAACGGCTTATTTCACTATTTTGACTCTCTCTCTCCCCGATTTCTGTTGTATAAAAATTGTACAACTTCAAGTCACAAATTTTGCCTCAAATTTCATTCAAAATTCCTCAAATTTCAACTGCTACTGTGAGAAGAAGTTATCTACTGAAGATCGCACACTCAATTTGCATCAAAGGTATGATTCCACTACTTCATAATTTAGGATTTTTTCCCCAATTTAGGAAGTAGGGTTCATGAGTCAATTAAATTAAGGGATTTTTGCAATTAGGTTATCTATTTGCAATTAATTATGCGATTTTGTTAGAATTCTGCTAATTGGAGTTGATGTTGTCCAAATTTGTTGAATGGTTGTTTACTATGTTGAATAATTGTATCTTATGTGCTGTGTTTTGCGATTGAAAGAATTGAATGAATCATAGTTGCATGAAGTTGTAAGCTTGTTCTTTTTTTCTTTTTTTTTTTTATTATGTTTTGCAGAAATGGAGGAGTCGCCATTGACATTAGCAATTGACAGGAGCTTCAACTATACGCTTCTGGTCCCCAGAGAATACTTCGAGATGGCACAATCAACAGTACATGCAAGTACAACCAAAGCATTCAATTTGCAGAAAAAAAAAGTAGAGTTAGGGTTTTGATTCAATCCTAAATGGGTAGGTGAGAATTTGACAGAGAATTAAAGGAAGAAAGAGGGAAAAAATTGATGATTTTGGAAGAATTAAGTGAAGGAATTGAGGAGAGATGAAGTTTTTAGAGTTTAATGTAACAGTCAGAATGTTAGGTCGGAGTAAAGAAGAAAAAAAAGGAGGGAAGTTAATAAGATGGGGCCCACAATTGAAAATTCCACCGGAAAACATAAAAATGTGGTAATCTGAATATTGTTTTAATTTAATGGGTGGTAATTTCAAATTAAGACCCATTTTTGGGTGGTAATTTACAAATTTTCCTAATTATTATGATATACCAGAAGTTTTTAATTGATAGATGATATAAATGGTTGTACAAATTATAAAATCAATTTTTTATTTTAACTCATTATATATTATGGTTAAGTGAATTCAAATGATAACAAACAAGATGAAAATATTAGATTGTTGAATTCATTATATATTATGGTTAAGTGAATTCAAATGAATACATCAAGATGAAAATATTAGATTGTTGCCTTGTTGGTGTGGATAAAAAATCTTTTAAAGTTTGAGTTGGTTTCTTTCTGCCATTGTTTGAGGAAGCAAATTAATTGCAGCAATCTTCATGACTAAATACAACCAAAATCACTCCATGTCTTATTAGTTTAACTCTTGTAATAATTTGTTTCCCTCCATCATCCGAAATTATGAATAAAATTAATATAGCTTTCATCATTTGTTTATTAGAAAACAAATATACTTTTAAAAATATACTTATGTCAATGGATCCAAAGTAAGAAAACAAAAAATTGAATTTAGTAAAAAATTCCTTGAAAATCCATGACATTGTAGACTTCTTCCACCATCTAAGGGTAAGAAAACAAAGAATCAATTCAGACACATTTCTGTCTGTTTGACTCATAATAAGGTCAATCTTAAATTATTGTCCTTAATAAAAATAAAATAAATAACAAAAATAATAAAAACATTTAAAAAAATAACAAAATTAGGTTCAACTCTTCATTGGTAAATAGCAATAGTAAGGATCCTATGTTACCCTTGTGACACAAAAATTTGACACCACACTAAATCAAACAATAATTAAGATCTCTTACACATGAAAGATTTGATAGTTCATAAAAATAAAATACTTGTATTTTCATAAAATTTGTCACATAGTTTTAGGACTTTGTTCTTTTAAAATAGTAACACCCAACTCTCTTGTATATATGTAAGACAAAAAGCATATTATAATAAATAATTCTATAAACTTTTTTTCAGTAGCTTCGAATTGACATTAACATTATTAGAATTATTTAATAAAAATAAAAGTAGATAAAAAGTCTTCTAATTGTAAGTAATGTACCCTACAAATAATATGGGTAAAGGGTAAAAAAGTAATTAAAAGTTTGTTGTTTATAGGGTTGGAATTGTGTGTTGGGGTACCATTTGAAAAGCATTTTTCTGGAATCCAGCTTACCCGGAATTTGATCAATTGCAACATTACAAAAGAAAAGAAATTACACAACTTGGTCACAAACAATATCTAATTTTTAAATAAAAGATTTTTTTTTTAATTTATTTATTTTTCACTCACTTCCCAAATGTCTTCAACTTTTTGTAATTTTTGTTATTGTTTCAACTGTTTTAGCATTTTTTGTGCCCCCACATTTCTCTCACCTACAAATATATATATATATATATATATATATATATATATATATATATATATATATATATATATATATATATATATTTTTTTTTTTAAATGTACCCCGTATAACTTTCGAGTGAGAGGAAGCTTTCCTTGCTGCCACATTTTAACATGACGCAGAATGTCATGATGCACGTACTTACGTTGGAATTATAAAGACTAATTATTTACTCAATTTAATTTACAAGGTTTTACTGAGGGATCGATAGAGAAAATTGGGATGACGAAAGGTCGAAAGGTCTGTTCT